TTTTTGCTCATACAGTGGGTGGCACACACCTGTAATCCTAGCTAGTCAGGAGGCTGAGGTCTGAGCATCCCAGTTGGAAGTCAATCTAGGCAGACAAATCTGAAAGGCTCTTATCACCAATTAACCAGTAAAAAGCTAGAAGTGGAGGTGTGGCTCAAGTTGTAGAGTACCAGTCTTGAGTGAAAAAGCAGAGTGAGAGCATGAGGTTTTGTACTGAAGCCCAGTACGGGCGTGTGCGTGCACATGCGCACGCACACACACACACATACACACACACACACATTCTTTGTGGGCTCTGCTGTGTGCAGTACAATGTTCAGCAACATCACTAAATATTTACAGCACTGAGCTGATGCATCCAGATGTGAGCATCCAAAACCATCTCTAGACATGCTCAGACACCCCCCCCCAACTCCCCAGGGACAGTCCTCCTTGGGTGAGAATTACTGTATTAGGCTAAAAGCCTCATACAACCAATCCCTTTGTGCCTTTGTCAATTCAATTTAATTATGTTTGAATCTATATTCAATCTCTACCTACTTACCCACCCACCAACATAAACTGCCGACACTCATAAATGCCTCACATTGTTTATGTCAAAGCCTTTGAATACTGTCTAGGGTTGGTTCTTCCTCACAACCATATGTGGCTAATTTGGCTAGGAGGAGAGAAGTAGTCACTAACACCTATGTCCACACCTCACGGAAATGAAGGCTCATGTTAATTATTTCCATGTCTGTAAGTTCATGGTGTCATAACTTCTATTGCTCTGAAATGTCCTCAGCTTTTTTTTTTTTTAAAGAGACATGATCTTGTTATGCTTTCCATACCTGCCTCATATCCCTGGGCTAGAAACCATGTAGCTGGCAATAGGTCTGTGCCGCTACATCCGCATAGCCCATCTTCTTTTTCTAGTAGCCCTGCTTTGCAACTCCTTGTCCCAGTAACTATTGTTTCAATCATAATTTTACTTAATTAGTCTCATTTACCCAGTCTTGCAGTTGTTTTTCACATTTGGCACTTAGATATACAATGATGATCCAAGCTCAAGATATTTATTCCCTGCAATTATCCTAGATTAGAATTTATTAATTAAAACCGGGGCAGGGGGAAGGACTTGTAGAAAAAAAAAAGAGCAGAAAATAACTTTCTCTAAAATACTCCACAGCAGACCAATACATGACAACTATATAACATTTACTTTGATGACTACTAATCTAATTAAGGGTGCTTACTTTCCCTACTGCAAGTCCTTGGATGATTGAAGCATCAAGGAAAATGGCCACAGGGAGTTGATTTTCTTCTATCCAGTAACATTATTAATGAATTCTTCCCTGTAGAAAACTCTGAAAATAAGCAGAGCACTTAGTTTTTTTTTCTAAGCTGTTTCATCTTTGGTAAAATGAGAATGATAATGCCTGTCTGTCTTGAGCTAGTGCACAGAATGTAATGTTCCATTTCAGGCTTTTAGCTCTGTGCCCAACAGATAGGTGTTTTATAAGTGCCATTTTCTACGCAGCAACTCATCTGTGTTCCTGTTACTGATACACATACATAAAAAAACTGTATGGTTCATTGCAGAATGAAAATGTGAACTTTCTTGTTTAAATATTACTAAGAATTTTAAGGTAACAGCCAGAATATTAAATCAAGCATGGGGCTCTTCTTGTTTTTAGAGCTCTATGTGACTGCTGAGGTACATACTCATGAAGCCAGCCCTGCTTGCTCCCATAGCATTTCCAAGGCTCTACTTGTATATCTTTTCTCTAAATTGAAAACCATACTTCAAATTGGACAGGTGAGGGAAATAAATACAATTGATTACAAGGGATTTGATTGTATGGGTTCCTTTTCAATGCAAACTCACATTTACTCAAGCAACATGTTGAGCCTAGGATTCATAATAAACCTGGGGCTTTCATCTGCCAGAGAATTTCAGTGGTTTGCATCATCCTCAACCTAGAAGAAAAAAAAAAACCTAAGCAAACAACGGCAAAAATGCTGTTTGAAAATGATGGGACATTTGAGTTATAATGTGAGAATTCAGTGGCCAAAGGGTAATTTCAGTTCTAGTGCTTTCTACATGCCAAACCACATTCACAGAGTAAACAGCAAGGATCTAAACAAGGGATGCAGATCCTAATAGCAATTTTAGGGACATGTTCCACATGTCTAAGAGTTAAATACAAAAAGAAGAAGATTTGGTCTCTGAGCCACTGAGCCAACCTCTGGTTCTCATTCTTCCTCCTTTATGGATCCATCAGAATGTTCTTCAAAGAGTTTCTCATATCCCAACTGGTAACAAACAGAATCATATAAAGAGCAAAAACCCAAACCAAAACAACAATAAGCCCCCCCCAACTAAACTCCAAACAAAAAATATTCTGTGTGTATATACATGTTAATATAAACATCTATACACACATATAAATAAACTGTTCACTTCAAACAAGAATTCTGCTTGAAGGAAATAGGAAGTTTATTCTGAGCAATGACAAGTAACTGTGACCTGGGAATAGTGCTTCAAGTTACCCTGAATGACATGCTCCAAAGCAAAAGAGGCTACATGGACTTTTATAGCCAAAGAACAAAGGAAGTCATAAATCAATGCATTCAGCAAGTACATTGGTGGGAAGCAAGCTGGGTAAAAAGGGGAAATCTTTCCTACAGGTTTCAGATGTCAGCTGAGAGCTTTTGAGTGTGGAAGCTAGTGGTGTGCTAAATTTAACAACAGATTCAGAGAAGTTTACCTAACAGGAGAATGATAGGTCAAACACTAATGTTAAAAGTAAGTGGGCCCGGGGCTGGGGAAGATGGCTCAGTGGTAGAGTGCTTGCCTTGCATGCCTGAGGCCCTGGGTTCAATTCCTCAGCACCATAAAAGCAAAAAGGAAAAAGCTGGAAGTGGTGCTGTAGTTCAAGTGGTAGAGCACTATCCTTGAGCTGAAGAGCTGAGGGACAGCGCCCAAGCCCAGAGTTCAGGCCCCATGACCGGACCCAAAAAATAAAAAATAAGTGGGCCAATGGGGCCAGTGGCTCAGGCCTGTAATCCCAACAGCTATTGTAATCCTAGCTGCTCAGCAGGCTCAGATCTGAGCCCTCTGGATTTGAAGCCAGCCTGGGGTAGGAAAGTCTGTAAATTTGTTATCCCAATGAGCTCCCTTCCCATAGCTTAACACGTGCCTCCCCCTCTCCACAGCTTAGCATGCTCCCTTCCTAGGCAACACTAGGCCCATGTAGTAAAGGCAGTAAATAATAAGCCTCCAACCTACTTTACCTTGGGATGGCACTTCTCTGGGGGCAGCCACCACCATATAAGGCAACAAGAGCCCCTTAGAGTGACTTTCAGGTCTGGGCAGCTGCAGGACCCCTTATCTACTATTTGGCCAGCAGCCATCAACCCTAGTCTGTCATAATGAAGCCTTTGGCCCACATGTCCACAACAGGGTCTCTGCCTTCTAGTTCCTTCTAGGAACTCCTAGGTTATATAGGTCACCTCAGACAATAGCCGACGCTTCTTCTCACTTCTCCCTTGTGAGAAGGGGTCTTGCTTGCCCCTTTTCTGGCAATAAACCTGTCTTTGTTCTCTGTACCTGGATATCTGTGTGGTTTTCTGTCCAAGTCCAAATAATCTGACACAATTAATCAGCAAAAAGCCAGAAGTGGAACTGTGGCCTAAGTTGAAGAATGCTAGCTTCAAGCAAAAGAGCCAAGCCAACAGTTCAAACCATAAGTACAGGAATAAAAAGAAAAAAAAAGTCTTAAATTAGCTCTGCCCTTCAACTGCAGTGTGACTGGGTTAGTATCTTACCTGACCATTTGCAGTGACTTCCTGGGATTGGCTATATGCTCCCCTGCTGTTGCTCTAGGCTGTTGCTACTTTTACTTTTCCCTAGTGAACTGAAACCTGTATGTTTTTTGTGTTTGGGATGATCTGAGGATTAGTAGTTAGTAATTAAGATTGGGGAAATAAAAGAATTTGTTACACATGGCGTAGGTTATCAAATGATCTCAGTAGTACTTGGCCAATTAATACCATCACAATGGACATGGCTTGCTGGTTTGTTGTTTTTCAATAAATTCTGGCATTGTGAAAGACACAAGCATTCAACTGAAAAAAATTTCTTCTATTGGAATCAATACACAGGCTACCCTCGTGTAAGCACTAAAACTTACTGAGCATCTACTATTCTCTAGGTGCTTTATGTACACACTTACTCTGAAGACAATAAAATACCAATTTACCTATACTTATGCATATCATATATCTAGCTAAAATGTGTACTGTATACATTCCGATACATTTGAATATAGCTACATATCTAATCATATATATTGCACACACATGAAACAGTGCAGCAACTAAGGCTCAGAGCAGTTCTCTGCAAGATGCTGAGTCTTTGAGTGATCTTGAGCAATTTTGAGGCCCAACTTGGTGCAAACTTTTAAAGTAAAACAAGCAAAACTCAAGAAGCCTTAACATGCTTGTGCTATGAATCTACAGGGCCACCTGGCTTTTACTTACTATAATCTGCAACTTTTCTCTATCTCTAGCCCCATCCAGGTCAGGGGTTTAGTTCATTTGGTTAATATTCTCCTGGTTTGGAGAACAAAACAAAGGTTAAAAAAAAAAAGCAAAACTCGTGGCGCGGGCCTTACACCAAAGCCCGCCAGAACCAGCACTAAGCAAAAGCTGTTTGGGATCTCGCGCTCTCCCTCGGTGCTGGAGACAGCCAGCACGCCGACCGACACGCTTTCCAGGCCTGCGCGTCACTCGGGGAAGCAGGACGGTCGGCCAGAAAGTCGCAAACGTGAGGACCTCAGCGGCAGGGGGTGGGTGGGGTGGGGAATTGGTCGGCCTCCCGGTTTCCATGGCGACCGAGCGGAAGCGGCCGGAAGCTGCGCTGCGGTTGGCCACAAGGGCAGACGCCGAGGGCGGAGCCTCTCGGGGGCGGAGCCTCCCGGGGGGTGGAGCCTGAGTAACCAAGCAGCCGCGACGAGGAAGCGGAAGAGGCGGCCATGGAGCTGGCGGACGCGGAGGCGGCGGGCCCCTCGCCGGAGGCTCCCGCGCCGGCCGAGTGTGCGCCGGCGGAACCGGGCGGCCTCCCTGGGTGTAAATGAGAAGGTTGGGGCGGGGTTGGGCGGGCGGACGCCCGGGGGCGGCGGCCGTTGGGGCGCGGTTGTCCCCGCCACCCCCCACCTCCCGCGGTCTTCCCGGCCCCGCCGGCGGTGCGGCCTCGCGGTTCCTCCGCTAGTGCCGGCCGGGGATGGACTCACCCTGTCGGACGGGGTGGGGCGCCCCCGCCCTGCGGAGGAGAGGGCGGCGGAAGGGAGGTGCACCTGTTCCCGCCCTCCCCCGTGGGAGGCCGGACAAGGCCCCACCTTCACCCTGCGGCCTCCGGGGGCCGGGGGCTGGCCTCGACCCCGGGGGTAGGGAAGGGAAGGATGGCCTGGAACCCAGCACTGGGCTGCTGTGTCGCCTCTGCCCTGACTCACTTCCAGTCTCGGATCCCAATCTTGACCGCCCCCTCCAGGATCTATCATTCTCTACTCTTTTTTTTTGGGGGGGGTGGGGGGGTAAATCAGAAAATGAAATTGGTACCTTAATATTTACCTTCTGCCAATTTTGCCACTGATGGTTTTTTTTTTTCAGCTCCAGTCTCCGTGTCGCATTTATTTTACCTTGTTATTTTTTAAATTGTAGTTAAGAGCAAGACTTACCTCTCATCTCTTTCTCCACCCATGACATAAACCAGGATTTGTGTTCTCTGTCGATTGGTGCTTCAGGGTCTGAAGGCATGCCACCTAAGTGCCCCACCAGTGAGCTACACCTCGTGCCCTTAAAATATTGCAACGCTAGTATTTATTGGTAGCACTCTTGTAGACCCTGGGGACTCTTGCTTTCATGTGAGAGCTGAAACAGTTCACTGGAACCCCTAGGTTGTCTTAATAAGTTGTATTTCCAACTATTTATTTAAATGGAGAGACAGAGTACCTTGGAATAATTTTCATGGTGGTTAGAACTCAACATTGTTTTAAGTTTTCCTGCCACTTCTGATTTATTATCAAACTGCTTTAGAGTATTCTGTTCTGGGGTTGGGAAGGTGGCTCAGTGGTAGAGCACTTGCCTTGCATGCATGAGGCCCTGGGTTGGATTCCTCATCACCACATAAGCAAAAAGAAAAAAGCCGGAAGTGGTGCTGTGACTCAAGTGGTAGAGCACTAGCCTTGAGCTGAAGAGCTGAGGGACAGCGCCCAGGCCCAGAGTTCAGGCCCCACGACCGGACATCCCCCCCCCCAAAAAAAAATAGAGTATTCTGTTCTACCTCATCCAATTTTAATTAAGATTTTCCCCATTATTAATGCTGGGAAAAATATAATGCACAAAGCAACACTAATTATGTAAACAAGACTTAAGAATGTATAGCTGTTGGAGTTTGATAATTTTAGATGCTTTGGTGTATTTAAAGATTTGACCCATAATGGTGAAAAATTCTTAAATCCTCTTCCTCCTGTTCTCCCTTCCTTCTTTCCTTCCTGTGGCACCTGTCCTACGGATTTTATGGAGGCTTCTTATTCCTACGCACTATCCCTTTCAAGGCTAGTTAGCACTTTACTACTTGAACCACATCGCCAATTTCCATCTTTTTGGTGGTTAATTGGAGATAAGAGGCTTAGGGACTTTCCTGCCCAGTCTGGTTCCAAAGTGGGATCCTCAAATCTCAGCCTCTGAATAGCTAGGATTATAGGAGTGAACCACTGATGCTCAGCCAGAGAAAATATTTTAAAAAAGGGTTGGTCAAAGATGATAAGCAGCCTGAGTCTCTATGCTTTTGTTTCTTATTGTGCAGTAGTTCACGATCAATTGGTGCCAACACAAAGTTCCTCATCCAGAGTCATAGTACACGTGGATCTTGATTGCTTTTATGCACAAGTAGAAATGATCTCACATCCAGAATTGAAGGGGAAGCCTTTAGGTAATTCTTCACATTCGATAATATTTGTCTGTAGGATTATAGAGTTTGCTCCTCATGATTCTCCCTTCATTCTGATTTCTTAACCATATTAAAGCTGTTCTTAAGGTACTGCAGAAACATGATTACTTCATTGCCAAGTGTGTAAACCCTAAAAATTATTGTAGCTTGGCATTTGGACCATTGCTTATATGCAGACCATTGCTTATATGCAAACCATTGCTTATATGCATTGGCAATTTATGTGGAAAATGAGTTTCTCAAGTGGCAACTGGTATTTAATTGTACCTATTATCAACTGTTTTATTTTTTGGTAAACCATTACTGGAATTATATATGGCAGTATAGATTTGTAGGATTTTTTGTTGTCTGATTTCTCTTTAATCACTAAAAATCCTATGAAATACAATGATTATATTAGTTTTGGTTAAATTTGAGAAATAATAGTTTAATTTTTAGATGAATAATTGAGTCTCTAATTTATTGTTTGTTAGTGTTTTCTTATTAAATAATTTCTGCCCTAAGTAGATAAAACAGCTAAAGACTGAAAATAGGATATGGAAACTAACATGAGAATCTTTTAATTAATAATAGGTTATTATTATCATCTAGTCCAAAACCTGATTTTTGGTAGAATTTTGATAGAGTTCAAATCTTCTGAGACAATTTTTTTCTTTTCATTACAGCTATAACATGGGATTAGTAGATTATATTTTAAATATTCAATTTTGCTTAAATTTCTCATAGAAATATTTATTTCGTGTAGGAGTTCAGCAGAAATACTTGGTGGTTACTTGCAACTATGAAGCTAGGGAGCTTGGAGTTAAGAAACTTATGAATGTCAGAGATGCAAAAGAGAAGTGCCCACAGCTGATATTAGTCAATGGAGAAGACTTGACCCGTTACAGAGAAATGTCTTACAAAGTTACAGGTACAAATTATGAACAATATATTTTTTAACAGTTTTTATGTAAGATGTCTGTTTACTGCATAAATCAGTAAAATGCTTAAATCAAGTTCTATTTTCCTAAAAGGTTTTTATTTTGGATCTAGTCCACTTAAAAACATGATATAAGAAAGTTACTTTCTGGGGGCTGGGAAGGTGGCTCAGTGGTAGAGCGCTTCCCTTGCATGCCTGAGGCCATGGGTTCGATTCCTCAGCACCACATAAGCAAAAAGAAAAAAGCTGGAAGTGGCGCTGTGGCTCAAGTGGTAGAGCGCTAGTCTTGAGCTGAAGAGCTGAGGGACAGTGCCCAGGCCTAGAGTTCAGGCCCACGACTGGACACCCCCCCCCAAAAAAAAAAAAAAAAGAAAAAGTCACTTACTCTTAATGTGATAAGAATGATTCTGTCATGACTATTATTTAGTAACAAAAAAGAAAATGAGTATAAGGAAGACATTAAAGCTTTAAGTTTGTTATGAAGAATATGTTGTTTTCTAATGAACTAATAATAGTTGGGAGAGTTGTCTGTAATGTTAATAATAATTGAAATCTGATTTCTTAAAACGTTATGATGTTATGTGTGCACGGAAAATAACAGTGTAGTTAAATTCTCCCATGCTAGTTCGTGTTTGAACCTTAGTGGCGTAGGGAACAGAAAAAATGGAAATGCTGTGCCCTGGTATACTGCAAATATATAGAGTTTAGAAAAATGTACAAATCAGCTTTCTATTAACTTTTTATTATTTTTACTTGTTTTCAATTTTCATATGAAAAGGTTTAGGTGTATATAATACACAGAAAGCTCTTATAACTTAGGAAAATAAACTAAGCATGCCATGGCTGCTTTCCTAAGAAGGCTATAATTTATTCTTTGGCCTCATCTTCAAGATTATATATAATTAACTATAAGCATTGATATTTATTGTATTCTATATAAGAAATTATAAGCATGGATGATTGAGCTAAAAATATGGCTATGAGTAACTTCCCCAGGAATGTCATTTGGGGGCTTGTTTTCTTGGTATGTAGTCAGTGTGGTACAGAAAAAAGAAAACTTCCCAGTGAATGAGAGCTTTTAAAAATGATTATGAAGTAATGAATATATCTATATCTATTAACAATGTATTTGATGATTGTTAAACATTAAGTTAAATTTGCACTTACATCTATGCTTCTCTATTATTTGAATTTAGAATTGTTGGAAGAATTTAGTCCCATTGTTGAGAGACTTGGATTTGATGAGAATTTTGTGGATCTAACAGAAATGGTTGAGAAGAGACTCCAGCAGCTTCAAAGTAATGAGCTTTCTGCAGTGACAGTGTCTGGTCATGTATACAATAATCAACGTGAGTGCATTCATTCACAGTCCTTCTCCTTAGTAAGTTAGTACACCTAGGTTAATGTTAGGGACTCCTTTATATCATTCTGAAAGATTTCTGACTTGGAGGAGGTCATCTAAGATAACTAAAATGAATGACTTGTTCCCATTCCATGCTAAGCATGAAGGATTTTGATGAATTGTAGCTGTCCAGTTTTCATCTCTCTAATATACTGTTTCTTCTCAATTGTTTTTCTTTTCTGTGTGTGTGTGTGTGTGTGTGTGTGTGTGTGTTTGGTTTTTTTGTTTTGTTTTTGTTTTTTTGGTAAGTTATGGGGCTTGAACTCGACCTGGGCACTGTCCTTTTTTGCTCAAGATTATTGCTCTACCACTTTGAGTCATAGCTATACTTCTGGTTTTTTGGTGGCTGATTGGCGATCAGAGTCTCACAGGCTCTTCTGCCCAGGCTGGCTTTGAACCACAGCCCTCAGATCTCAGCTTTTTGAGTAGCTAGCATTAAAGGCATGAGCCACCAGCACCTGGCTTTCATCTCAACCATAAAGTCCTCTTTAGGTTAACCTTACATTCCAGGAATTGGTTTGTTACTACATTTTTTAGATTGACTTTTAATTCTTCTACACCATCTCTAAGCAAACATTGAAGTGGATTTTGAGGTTTTGCCATTGATGAATCTTTTCCTTGGATCCCTCTGTTCCTGAGGCATTGAGACCTTCAAGTTGTCTCTCCCTTTCTAAGTTAGCACTCACAGAATCTTGTCCAGGTCTTTCACAGACCTGCTTGCTATGTGTCTTTTCCAACTTTCTAGTTAACAGTTTAGATCACCACTACCTATTATTAGCAAGAAAGCAACATGGCTCATTTCCTTCACTAAGATGTGAGTGAAAGCTGGGTTGGTGATTCATGCCTGTACTCCCAGCAATTTGGGAGACTGAGATCAGGAGGGTCACCATTTGAGCCAGGTAGTGCAAAACAGTGTGCAAGACCCATTTCAACAAATAAAAATCTAGGTGCAGTGGCATGTCCCTTTCAGTCCAGTTATGTAGGATGCACAAATAGCTTATTTGAAAAAAATGATAGTAAAAAGGACTAGAAACATGATTCAAATGGTAGAAATGTCTGCCTAGCAAAGACAAAGCCTTTGGACGAAATGCCAGTACTTACAAGAAAAAACAACAACAACAAACTGATGGTGTTTCTAGAGATAGTGGCATTTGAAAACAAGCAGTATCGAGTGAGTATCTAAATAGGTTTTCAGGTGTAGTGAATCCCGTGTCATACAAAAAAAGAAAACAAGCTGCTTTGCGTTTGTGTAACAGTTATAATACCCTTTTGGTAGTAGGACTAGATAGATATGTACTTCTTTTCATCTCTATTTATAGGACTGTCTCTACTGTAGTTTTCCACAAAAGAAAAAAGGTAGAGCTACCATTTCTAGGAGACATGAAGCTTTTCATGTGTCTTATTATCTGTGCTCTCTTATTACTTACAAAGGCTAAATACCAACAAGGTTCAAAATATATTTCTTTATAATTCAAAGCAAACCTAATGTATTGGTTAGAACATATCTCTCTACAGAGAGCTATATTTTATATTCTAAATAGAAAATATAATTTTTCCTATTTCACACTAGGTTTTTTTTTTCAAGCCTATAGAAAAATTGGTAGAATTGTATAATGAATACATTTAAGTTCTTTCTTACAGATAAATCATATGTCAGTTTATCTTGCTTTGTAGAAAGGATGATTTGGAAGTCATTTGTAAACATCATTAAACTCCATCTGTAAATCCTTCTTGCTTAAGTCCTAAGGATAAAGGATGTAATTTTCATGCCAAATTTGTTTCTGTATTCAGTTTCATAAAAGATCTCTTAAACAGGTAAAAAATTGTTTTCAGCAGCACATATTGGTGATGTGTAAAGTTTAGATTTAGATCTTTGAAGCTATCATGTTAGTTTTAAGAAATTACTTTTTAAATTTAATGAATTTATTTTTTTTATGATGGTACTTGAACTCAGGTCCTGGGAGCTCACACATGGCTTTTTTTTGGTTAGCTTTTCTTACTGTAATACTTGTATGTGTATTTATAGGTAAGTGCAAATAGAAGTTACTGTCTGTAGGAATTATTAGATCAGTTTTCATAATCTATAATATTTAACCACTTTCAGCATACACTTATTATCATAGCTCCTTGGAATTCACTTGTGTTTGTTAAATTTATGGGATCCTATGAAGAATCAAAGGAATAATTCAAGCACAGCAGAGTAGTGTTAGTGGTAGGGGGAGGGGTTGGGTATAAACTAAGCTCTGACTCTTTAAAAATTGTTTTGTAAAGAAGAAAATTAAAATATTTTGTTGTGACTTTAAACAACATTGTCTGCTTTTGTAGCTGTGAACTTCCATAATGTCATGCATATGAGACTACTTGTTGGATCCCAAGTAGCAGCAGAGATGCGGGAAGCCATGCATAATCAGCTGGGGCTCACAGGTTGTGCTGGAGTCGCTTCTAATAAACTATTGGCAAAATTAGTTTCTGGTGTCTTTAAACCAAATCAACAAACAGTCTTATTACCTGAAAGTTGTCAAGATCTCATAAATAGTTTGAACCACATAAAGGAAATGCCTGGTAAGACAAATGTATATGAAAGATATCTATTGCCTTTGTTTTATTTCATTCATCTTGAAAGTTATTAATACAATGTCATTAATTCCTAGAGGTATGTACTTGGCTCTTAGAGAAAACGATAACAAAATCTAGTCTGTGGGAAGGGATACATGAAAGTACTTTTCTGTATCAGTTTGTGAATGTTACAATCTTGAAACATATGGTCTTTCATTTCCAGTCCTTGGCTCATAGTCTTATACTGTACATTGAATCTAGAGAAGAAAGTCACATTTTGTTAAGTCTCTGGGAACCTTCAGAGTAAAATAAATAAAATAGTAGGGTTACAAATGGCTTGTCAAAGCCTCTAGGTCAACTTCTCTGATTTAAAGAGGAAATGGATTTTTTTGAGCTCATTCCCCTGTTCACATCTTGGTGCAGATTTTTGCCATTATACATCAAGTGCCTGTGTTTTATAGACATAATCATTAATGAATATGTTACACTTCATTTCTGTAGCATTGTTGGAAAGTCTGATGTAATAATTCTGTGGAAATCAATTTTCTAAGACAACAAATTTAGCTAGTAGATGTCATAGTTTCCCATTTTTGACCAATATTTGTTTGATTCTAAATTGTATTATATCTGCTTTCTTCAATATCATTTTGAAGTTTTATTGTTTTCATTCTGAAGAACAAAGTCAAGTTGTAAGAAACGGAGGACTGTATGCTAATACAAACTCATATTTGAATTTATTTTTTGAGTTACCACTTATTATTACAAGCTTCTTTTCTCTTTATTACCAATTGTTGGTCTTCCTGTTTATGCTATAAAAATCTGTTGCCCCACTTTAAACCTCCTCTCCCCCAAGTTGTTGCCTAGTTTTCTGATTTTACTGTACAAGGTAACCAGATAATTATAGAATTAACTTTTTCTCTTTTAACTGAATAAGAAGGCATTAAATAGTCTGAGTATTTCTCCTGTAACTTAAGTATTATCAAGTATTAGTGCGAGAACAGAACAAAAAATCTTTAGTTTTTTTTGCTTTCTTGTTCCTAGTTGTATTCTGGATTGTAAGTATTGCTAGATAGGACTGGTGAATAAACACATAGTGTGCATAGAGATCAGATTTGCAGTTTTAATCACTGCAGTGGCAGTCTTTGTGTATACTAATAGGAACTGATTCACATATATCACCTGAATTGATTAACTGTATTTCACCCTTAAAATAACAATAAACTAAATGTTAAAAAAGAATTGATTTGTGAGTTCTTGCATAGTATTGTGTGATAGATGTTAAAAGTTTTATTTTGGGCTGGGAAGGTGGCTCAGTGGTAGAGTGCTTGCCTTGCATGCATGGGGCCCTGGGTTCGATTCCTCAGCACCACATAAGGAGAAAAAAAAAAAAGCTGGAAGTGGTGCTATGGCTCAAGTGGTAGAGTGCTAGCCTTGAGCAGAAGAGCGAGGGACAGTGCCCAGGTCCAGAGTTCAGGCCCTATGACCGGACCCCCCCAAAAAAAAAAGAAGTAAAAGATTTTTTTGAAAAAATTACTTTTACTATGGTAGAATTTACTGACTATCTCTCCTTATTATAATATAATGTTGTCAGAACTTGAAAGAAATCTGTATAACTCAAGGGCCATGAGTGGAAGAAAAATATACTAATTTGCAAAGGTATTAACTTAGGGCTTAAAATAGGCCTATTTTAAGTTTATTTTTGTTGTTGTTCTTTAGGTATTGGCTATAAAACTGCAAAACGTCTTGAAGTTCTGGGAATCAACAGTGTGCGTGATCTCCAAAGCTTTTCTTTCAAAATATTAGAAAAGGAATTGGGAATTTCAGTTGCTCAGCGTATCCAGAAGCTCAGTTTTGGGGAGGATAACTCTCCTGTCATGCCCTCAGGACCACCTCAGGTACATGGCTGTCAGTTATTTTAATTAAGTACTGATTATTACAAGACTTGAGATAAGGATTTCTAGTTTTATTATCATGTTCTTATTACTTTAGTTTGCTTTTCACTTAGTACATAATCCTTTTCCTATGAGAAGGCTGATTTATTAGATTAATACATATTCTTAAATTCAGATTGAGTGTTAATACTTTGAAATCTCAATTAGTCATTTTGATTGACTACAGCTTACATCCTGTAAAACATATAAGCACATATATAAACATATATAAATGCAGTTTTTTATTTCATTTTTTTTGTTGGTTGTGGGGCCTGAACTCTGAGCCTGGGTGCTGTCCTTCAGCTCTTCAGCTCAAGGCTAATGCTCTACCACTTGAGCCACACCGCCACTTCTGGCTTTTTCTGCTTATGTGGTGCTGAGGAATCAAACCCAGGACCTCATACATGCCAGGCAAGCACTTTACCACTGAGCCAGCTTCCCAGCCCAATGTGTTAGTCTTTTAAGAATGTTTTCAGAATAGTCCAATAGTTGGGAAAGTTGTAATCATTTAGTTAACACTATTATTTTTTCATACATAACAAGTTCTTTACTATGTGCTTTATATATACCTTAGTCCATTTCATCTTTACAGTTCACCTTTGAGTTAGGCAGAACCTTACTGCAGTCATGCAGTGAAACTTGTAGTTGGTACTAGAGCTGTGTAACTTTTTGCACTTTCAGTGTACTTCTAGTAGAGGACAGTAACTTCTACAAAAAAAAGTTAAGTGAGCAGCACAAGAGGCAAGTTATTTAACAAGGAATATGTTGGATATTTCTTTGACATATATATTGTATGTATTTCCTCAAGTTTACATATATCTTATATATCTTTTGTAGTCCTTTAGTGAAGAAGATTCATTTAAAAAATGTTCATCAGAAGTAGAAGCTAAAAAAAAGATTGAAGAACTTCTTGCTAGCCTTTTGAACAGGTGATTGCCAGTCCATTCTGCTAACTTGTCCTGTATATTCCTTCTGTGTGCAAGAAGAAGACTACTCTATCCTGTCTTGGATCTTAAAGATTACAGGAAACAATGTTCCCTAGTACAGATAGATGTTGCATTTCTCATCATTATAAACTATTATGAACAGTAATATTTGCTCTTATTTAATCCACCTTCTTTTACTAGTCTTAAGTAATATGCAGTTGTATTTGTGGCTCCTAACCTAGTTACCTAAAGGGATTTTATGGATACTTCTTATTCCTACGCTTGTTCTAATCCTTAGGTGAGAAGGAAATAGGTTAAATTTTTCTTGGCAAGTGCAAAATGTTTGCTTGCAACCTAATAGTTGCTTTGTAGTAAGACGGAAAAATACAGAGAGAAATAATACTGTCACAATTCTAAAACTTGTTACATGGGAACAGCTGAATTTGTCATGTTTAAGAAGAGAAAGCTAATAAAACAGTAATGGTTGAGGAAGGCAGTGAAACCTTACATCTTTACCTCAGACTATGGAAAAGAAAATGGGAACCTGGTAATGGTGGCTCATGCCTATAATCCTAGCTACTCAGGAGGCTGAGAAGTGATGATTATGGTTTGAAGCCAGCCTGGACAGGAAATTATCTCCAGTTAACCACTTACAAGCCAGAAGTGAAGGTGTGTCTGAAGTAGTAGAGTGCTAGCCTTGAGCCAAAAAAGCTCAAGTTCAAACCACAGGACCAGCATACAGACACAAAAAAGGAATTGGAGTCAAAGGAAGACACAGAAAATAGAGTGTGTAAGGGATTATAAGTTTGTATAGGGATTCTGGTCCTTGTATATATTTCATATTACTTTGTAGAAAAGTATTTATCTCTTTTCATTTTCTCTCTTGTTAGAAATTTCTCTAGTTGGAGTGACAGATGTTTAATAGCTTAGTTTAGGTGTGCTTCAGCACTAAATGTAGAAAGGCTAACTATCTAACCGTTTGGGGATGATTCTAAGTCTCAGAAAATGGATTAAGTTTCCTCCAATTTTGCAATAACATACATCTTGCCTCATGTCTGGAGCTGACTTGCAGCTCATCTTGTTGCATGCAACTGAGGCTGCCTTGTGTGCACCAGCTACATCAGGATGACTCAGGCTGGGATGGGGAGTGTGCTTGTGAAACTGGGTCATGCACTCTTATTCAGTTGGATATTAGAGCACTCTGAAATGAAAAGACTGTGTGTGTGTGTGGGGGGGGGAGTTGGTGATGATTCTGTAGTTGTTAAAGAAATGTCAAACTATATAATTTTAATCCATTCTCTAGGCAATAGTTTAAAATTGCTTAGGATTAACCTCTTTCTAATGCAACACAGTTGCATATCTTACTCTGAATTGTGTAATTACTTAAAAGAACAAGTGTAACTAGAAGATAATCAAGTCATTTGTTTGCAGGAGCTACTAAAAATATTTATTACCTTGGTTGAACATCAATCAAGAAAATTGTGATATAGCAGGAAGAGAGACAAAATTATTTACTCAAATTTAGAATTTTTGTTGAGTATTAAAATGTATATTTTTCGTTTGTTTATGGTATGATTTTTAATGAATTGATGTAAAAAATGAAAGAGGAAAATATTATCCCTTAATTACACTTACTTTTCTAGTAATTACATTTTCTTCTTTTTTCTTTTTTCCTTGGTGCCAGTCCTTGGTCTTGAATTCAGGGTCTGGGCTGTCCCTGAGCTTCTTTTCAAAGATAGCACCCTACCACTTGAGCCACAGCTCCACTTCTGGCTTGTTGGGTAGTTTATTGAAGAACAGAGTCTCATGGGCCTTCCTGCCTTGGCTAGCTTAGAACCTTGATCCTCAGATCTCAGCCTCCTGAGTAGCTAGTATTATATGCATGAACTGCCACTTTCTTTTTCATTAAAACTTTCTTTTTCATTAAAACTTTTAACATCACAACCAAGACCATTTAGATGGAATTTTGTTTAAATGCATGATTGTCTTCCTAAATGTAAGCAATTGATCTTTTATAGTATAGCTCCGATATGCAGTAATGTTAACACTAATCACTTATTCTTTCAAGTCTATTCAGAGAGTTTCCATGAGCAAAAGTTATTTTGCACAAAAACTTGTGAAACTTTTTCTCTTGTAAATTTTAAGTTATTTCCTCTTGTCAGATGGGATGGTCTTTTAATATGTTGCTTTCATTTACATTTTAGATTGGATTTAAAGCAGCTTGTCTTATGATTCTATTTCTGTTCTGTTTCAGATCTTAGATTTGAAATGTCAGAGGTTTAGTGCATAGCTTCGTTAGATATTTCAGGCACCTTGGAACTTTCTTGTTTACTGTTGTCTACTGTATCGTAATTGTTTACTCCAATACCATTCAGTAAATGTGGTCTTATACTATTTTGTTGAAAATGAACTTTACAACTTCTTGGGGGGGAAGGAGGAGTTGGGCAGGTGGGGATAGAAGGGATGTAGGGGAAAAACAAAGGAGGGGGTAACAGTGCTTAATAGTGAATACACTCAATTACTCATTACCTTACTCATGTAACTATAACCCCTTTGTTCAGTATCTTTACAATAAAAATATATTAAAAAGTATTTAATACTTTCTCTAATTTTCATTTCTTCATATTTTTAGGGTATGCCAAGATGGAAGGAGGCCCCATACAATACGATTAGTAATCCGTCGATATTCACCCGAGAAGCACTACAGTCGTGAGAGTCGTCAGTGTCCCATTCCATCCCATGTCATTCAGAAGTTAGGGACAGGTATCACTAGTTTCCTAAGAATGTATTTGTCACATTGAACTCTGAAGCATTTAATACTTTTATCCTATCAAATGTCTTCACTAGAATTATTATTTTTTTTAAATTGAGGCAAGATCTCATCATGTAGCCCAGGCTGGCCTGGAACTTGCTCTGTAGCTCAGGCTGTAGGTCATTATTCTTGCCCCCACTTCCTGAGTGCTAGGAATAGGAACATTTGCCATCTTTCTTAATTATTGAAACTAATTATATAGTGTATATTTAGTAAGTAAGGAAAAGATGCCCAGTGATTTCAATTTAGTATTTTAAATTTCCTTTTTTGTTTTGGCTGTACTTGGTATGAATTCAGGGCCTTCCTTGCAGTTGCTGGGCAGGTCCTCTACCATTGAGCCAAATCTATAGCCCTTTTTGCTTTTATTACTTTTTAGATTTGGTCCCCCTCTCCCAGGTGGCCTGACCATGTTCCTTCTATTTATGCTTCCTATGTAGCTGGGATGACAAGTATCCATCATTATATCCACTTTTTTAAGTAGTTTTAAAAATTAGTATCTGTGGTAGTTTTTGAGGTTTGAGTCTATCTTTTGGGAAGTATAGTGTAGCAGAACAGCTCTCCTTGTGGTGGTAAGGAAGTGGACGCTGGGCTTTATCCTCGTATTTCTTTTATGCTTTCTGTGCCCTCAGCCTATGGGGTGATGCTGTCCACGTTTAGGATGGATGTTCTCAATCTTCTCTGGAAATATCCGCAGAGACACACCCTGAGGTGTGCTTTACTAATCTTCTAGATGCTTCTCAATCCAATTAAGTTGTTAGTCAAGATTAATCATCATGTCTTATATTAATTGTATAAAATAATGGGTTTTATTGTGTCATTTTTTACATAAGCATATAACATCTTGATCATGTTTACCTCTATTGTGCTCTTGTTTCTGGTCTTCCCACTGTGGTCTTGTTTTTTTCTGATAATAATCCCCCATTGACTCTTTGATCTTTTGAAAAGTGTAAGTTAGGACTTCTGGTTCTTATTCTAAGCAATATAACTTGTATTAAGCTCAGTATTAATTGTGATATAACATGCTTAGATATTCTTGAATATTTCACTCAGGAAATTATGACGTGATGACTCCAATGGTTGATATACTGATGAAACTTTTTCGAAATATGGTGAATGTGAAGATGCCATTTCACCTTACTCTTCTAAGTGTATGCTTCTGCAACCTAAAAGCCCAAAATACTGCTAAGAAAGGGCTTATTGATTATTATCTAACACCTTCATTATCAACAACTTCACACTCTGGCAAGCGCAGCTTTGTAAGTATTCTCTGTTTATTATTCAATTTTGTAAGAACAGAATTTATAGAATATAGTTATGTATTACATCTACATTTGGATTTAACTGATATTAGACATTCTTTCGGTGATACTGTTTGGATGACTTACTTGTTTATAGTGACTATTAGAGAATGGTTGCTAGCCTTAAATAATATATTGTAAACTAAGAAGAAACCATAAACATCACTAAGTAAAAGAGAAAGCTGTTACAGAGCTTCTGTTTTGGAAGTGCTACTAACCCATTTCAGATAGAGGATTATGATAGATTAGCTCATAGATGAAAACATTCCCAGAAACTGGAAATGGAATCTGTTTTTGTCTGTCAGTCTATTCATAACTAGTACTTTCTTCATTTTTGTTGTTGTTGTTGTTGGTCATGGGGCTTGAATTCTGGGCCTGGGTGCTATCCATAAGCTCTTTTGCTCAAGGCTAATGCTATACCACTTTGAACCACAGTTTGACTTCCGGTTTTCTGGTAGTTAATTAGAGATAAGAGTATCCTGGACTTTCCTGCTTTGACTGGCTTTGTACTGCAATCCTTAGAGCTCAGCCTCCTGAGTAGCTAGGATTAAGGTATTGGCTACCAGTGCTCTGTGTTTTTCATAATTAAGGTATTAAAATTTTCTTAGTTTTGAAATTACATTGACTTTTGGTAGCAATATTGATAGATTTTGCTATTGATTTGACACTTTTTTTTTATTGTAAAGATACTATACAGAGGGTTACAGTTACATGAGTGAGGTAATGAGTACACTTCCTCTTGAACATTGTTACCCCCTCCATTGTTTTCCCCCTACCATCCCCTCCCTCCCTCCCTTCCCCGAGGTTCTTTTTTTTTGATTGTGATTGATTACATAATTTCCGGAAATTCACAGTATTGTGGAATAATGATGCTCATTTAAAGTCACAAGTTCATTCTAACTTTCCTGGAGCAAGTTGTCTATCAGAGTCTGTAATATATAACGGTGCTCACATGTTATATACCATATATGTGATCAGCAAGCATGGGGATATTTAGTAGTGGTTCAACCAGATGAGTGGGAGTTCTTTGTTTCTTAAGTCCTGTTAGTTTTGTCATATCACCTAACATTTTGGATTTAGCATCCACTTTTGATTTGACACCTTTAAAAATTAACTGTTGTTGGCTCACTCCTATAGCCCTAGCTATTCAAGAGGCTGAGATCTGAGAATAAAGGTTCAGAGACTCTTATCTAAGACTAATTAGCAAAAATGGTAGAAGTGGAGGTGAGGCTCAAGGGGTAGAGCACCAGTAATGAGCAAAAAAACTGAGAGCACAAGGCCCAGAGTTTAAGCTACAGTTCTGGCATCAAAATAGACAAAAAAAAACTGTGTCAGTAGAGCAGGGTCTAGTCACATTTTTATATGACTAATATACAGTGTTGTAGCAAGTATGGGATGCTTTAAACAATGTCTACAATTTAAGCTGGGTGTAGTGGCTCACGCCTGTAATCCTAGCAAGTCAGGAGGCTGAGATTTGAGGATCGCAGTTCAATGCCAGTGGGCAAGAAAGTCCGTGAGACTCCTATCTCCAGTTAACCACCAGAAAACCAGGAAGTGGCACTGTGGCTTAAGTAGTAGAGTGCCAGCCTTGAGCTGAAGAGCTCAGAGACCCCTCCCAGGCCCAGAGGTCAAGCCCCACAACTGACCAAAAAGAAAAAGGAAAAAAAAGTCTACAATTTAAAATCCTTATTTTTTAATCAGTATAAGGTTAGCAGTGTTTTTACTTCTACTTAAATGAGAACAGAATGCTATGAAAATGATAAATTAGTTCTCTATTTTATTTTGTAATCCTTTTATTCAGTGTATTAACCCAAAGCTAAAAAAGTATTTACTTTCCACATCTTAATTAATCTGTAGGATGGGAATTAAGGTTCTCTAATTTACAGTGAGAGTAGAGAAATAGATACAATGAAGTAACTTTGCCTCTCTGGTACACAGTAGTTGTTCTTTTTTTACATTCTTTGTTTTATTTTAGTCAAGGTCTTGTTAAATTGACGTAACTGCTCTGGAAAGTGCTGTGTAGGCCAGGCTGGTTGCAGATCTGTAATTGTCTTCTTCAGCACTCAACCTCAAGTGCTGGGATTACAGGGCTGCCACAACTGGAGGTTAATACCTGGGAAGTTACTGTTGCATCCAAGTTTATGGAAACTATGTTGGACTGTGTATGTACTTTATTTTTGGCTGTCTGGGGCTTGAATTTAGGATATTGAGCTTGCCATCAAGCCTCTACACCTTACTTGAGGTCGATAGACAAAGTCTTGCATTTTTGCCCAGTTCAGCCCGGAGCTTGTATCCTTCTGCCTGTGTCAAATGAATAACTGAAAGCACAGGCACTGATCACCATCCCTTGCTTGTTTTGAGACAAGATCTTGCTTTCTCTACAGGTTGTCCTTGAGTTGTATTCTTCCTGTTTGCTTCTGGAATAACTGAGATTGTAGGCATGGACTACCATGTCAGCATGTATATATTTTATGGCTTTTAAAACTGAAATTGAAGCTAAAAGCTGTAGAAATTTTGTGTGAATTTGAATAGAAAATTTTGATTTTTTTTTTTTTGTTGTTGTTGTGGGGCCTGGGCGCTGTCCCTCAGTTCTTCAGCTCAAGGCTAGCGTTCTACTGCTTGAGCCTCAGTGCCACTTCTGGCTTTTTCTGTTTATGTGGTGCAGAGGAATGGAACCCAGGGCCTCATGCATGCAAGGCAAGCGCTCTACCACTGAGCCACTTTCCCAGTCCCGTGTGACAAATTTTGATAGGTTAATTATCTCTGAAGGTTTGACTACAAAAGATTCAATGTGCTGAATTGGTTTGAAATATTTTGTCAGTGAAACTATAGGCTTCTCTGCAGCAGCAGGGATATTTTACAAGACATCAGATAACTGAACTAATCTGCTCTTCTGATTATAGAAAATGAAAGACACTCATATAGAAGATTTTTTCAAAGACAAAGAAACAAACTCAAATTTTCTACCAAGTGGAAGAATTGAAAGTACAGGAACTGGGGAATCTCCATTGGACACTACAAATGTTTCTAATGAAAAAGATGTTAATGAAGTTCCACTCTGTTTACTTCCTGAGGAGGTTGACCAAGAAGTTTTTAAGCAGCTTCCTGCAGATATTCAAGACGAAATACTTTCTGGAAAATCTAGAGAAAAATTTCAAGAGAAAGGAAGTTTGAGTTGTCCACTACATGCTTCCAGAGGAGTATTATCTTTCTTTTCTACAAAGCAAATGAAAGATATTCCATTAACTTCTAGAGATAATTTATCCAGTAGCAAGCAGGTATCTTCTACATATCCTTGTGAACCAGGAACCTCAAGTTCAAGTAACAGTAATTCCTGTTATTCATCTAGCCAAAAAGATTACTCATACTATATAGATAATCGATTAAAAGATGAACGAACAAGTCAAGGACCTAAAGAATCTCAAGGATTTCACTTTTCCAAAATAAACACTACTGTATCTGTTTTCCATTCATTTCCAAATTTGCAGAGTGAGCAGCTTTTCTCCAAAAACCGCAGTACAAGCAGCCATAAGCAAACAACAACAGCCTCTCCTCAAGCAGGACTTCAAGAAAAAGGAGAGCAAGAGTCTGCTGCAGAGAAAGTTACTTTTCCACCTGAAGTTGATCCTCAAGTTTTCTATGAACTACCAGAAGAGGTCCAGAAAGAATTGTTGGCTGAGTGGAAGAGAGCTGCATCAGATTCCACATAGTGCATAAAGCACAGCCAGAACAGGGGCTTAAAATTTTAAGCAACGGAGTTATCATTGTTCTCAGATTAGTAGGATTTGCAGCTCCTCTTAATTAAACACTGATATTCAATAATGTAGAGATCCAGTGGTCATAAGAGGTACATTCTGATACAAAGCATAAAAATATAACAATAATGTAAAAATATTATCTTCTAATTTCTACAACTATTTTACTTTCCAATAAAAGGAATCTGTCAACATGAGTACATTTTTTGTAAATTAGGGATGAGGGGACAGGATGTATATACTTGGATATAAAACCTATCAAATCAGGGCTGGGAAGGTGGCTCAGTGGTAGAGCGCTTGCCTTGCATGCATGAGGCCCTGGGTTCAATTCCTCAGCACCACATAAACAAGAAGAAAAAAAGCTGGAAGTGGCGCTGTGGCTCAGGCAGTAGAGTGCTAGCCTTGAGCTGAAGAGCTGAGGGACAGCGCCCAGGCCCAGAGCTCAGGCCCCACGACCGGACCAAAAAAAAAAAACCTATCAAATCAACACTATGCTATAGTTGAAGACAGTTTTGTGTGTAAAATAAGGAATTTTTCTAGGATTTCACTATTAGGAGATAGCCAAATAGGATATCTGTCAACTAACTTATTACAAGCAAAAATGTTTTGCCCAAAGTACTACTTATGATTGAATAAATTGCCTTAATGTTTTTGAGAAGGTCTTACTTGCAGTCCAGGCTGACTTGTAGCTCACAGCCCTCCTTTGTCCTAAATGCGGGGTTGTTGGCATGTGCCACTACGCCCAGCTAGTAAGTTGACTTTTAAAACAGCAGAACAATACATAATGCATTGGTGTTTCTTCAGACATTTAGGTCTACTACAATGTTCAGCATATAGGGGACATTGAACAAAAAATGCAGGGTGGGGAATTAGGAGTGGGAGGTCCCCATACAGGGTCATTAAGGGAAAGAGGGACATCAGGAACGCAAAGTGATGGAGCAGGGATGAAATCCATTTCTTTTCATCCCATTTTTGTAGGGTCTAGAAGCAAGGCAATTAGACTTTTTTTTTCAGCTCTTATATTGGACTTAGCTAAGAATGTCAAACCAACAAGAAATAGGCCATTACAAAATTAGAGGGTCACCCCTTTCTCCCTTTTATACTGCTTTGCTTTTCCCTGCCAGGTTAAAAATTGGACGTAAGGTCAAGGACATCCTATAGTTTGTAGAATGCAGCACAAAGGTTGACCTGATTTTTGTGTTTTTAAATCTATGTTGATATATATAAAATTACTAAAATTTTAAAGAATTTTCATAGTATAAAGTTGGACTATTAAAAATGTGTATACCAAACATAGTGTATAATATAAATTGAAGCAGAAATAATTGGGATTTTATAAGAAGTTTGTGTGTGTGTGTGTGTGTGTATATGTGTGTATGTGTGTATGTCTGTCCTCGGGCTTGAATTTGGCCTGGGTGCTTTGCCTGAACTTCAGTGGTCAAGGCTAGCATCCTACCACTTGACCAAAACTCCACTTGCAGCTATATATATATATATATATATATATATATAAATTGGATGAGTCTCATGGGCTTTCCTGCCCAAAACTCCACTTGCAGCTATATATATATATATATATATATATATATATATATATACATATAAATTGGATGAGTCTCATGGGCTTTCCTGCCCAGGCTGGCTTCAAACTGTGATCCTTAGATCTCAGCCTCTGAGTAGTTAGGTACCGGCCTGATGCAGTGGCACTCAGCTATAGTATTCTTTAGCCTTAGCTAAACTATACTGTTGTAGTTCAGTGTCTTCACATTTCTGATGTAACACCTTAGTGAAAATAATGTGGGCACATGTACTCCCAGTATCTGTTTATTACTAAGGTATTGTCAAATTTGTTATTTGGCTCTGAGTGGGTCAAATACTTCAGTGACGTCTGTGGCATTCCATAAGATTGCCAGGACATTTTATGACTGTGTAAGCTGCCATCATACCAAGTACTAATGATTGCAGTGTTAAGTGTGATGCACATTTAGATTTATTAACATCTGAATATTCATTTCCATATGTTGATAATCATCTTAAATGTTACCTCAAAAATCTCATGAGCTTTCTGTTGTTAGACTAAATGTGATTATTGTAAAAAAAAAAAAACTGATGACTGAAACCCATTTTATACACAAAACCTTTAACAGCTTTCAAATTATTGAGGCTGACAATACCAATATTGAGTGTGCAAAATGCACTTTATAGTAGAATACTCTTCCAGTCTCACAAAAATATGGTTGGTTGGAGCATTGTTTAGTAATAGGTAACTTAACAAAAGAAGGTAAGGGCTGTACAACAGAATATATGTGTAGACTTTGAGACAGCATAGGGCTGAGAAAATTGAAACAATGTTGAAACTGCTTTAGGAAGCTATTAGGAAACATTTGGTAAAATAGTTGCCTGAAAGTCTCTGGAAAGCAAAAGTACCAATACTAAACCAATAAATGCTTGGTTGGGGGCTGTTTTCTGGCAAAATGTAGAAAGCGCCACCTGGTGGCATTTAACTGAATGGAATTGGTCTTGGGAAGAAAGTATCTGTCGCTATTGACTGCCAAGCAGTTAAAGGTGATATAATCAGGAAAACAAAATGGTTGTCTTTTCTCACACTCTACTCAACTAGAAAAACTCTCAAAAACATGGCCACATCTCAGATACTAAGTCAAGGCTCTGTCAGATACTTGGTAATTCCTCTTAGACCAAAGAACAAAAAAGGCCTTGAAGCATGTTCGTACCAAGTTTAGATGTGGTTTTGGGTGTGTAGTGGGCAAGAATCAAATACAGAAAACATTTTTTTTGTCGGTCCTGGGGCTTGAACTCTGGGCCTGGGTGCCGTCCCTCAGCTCTTCAGCTCAAGGCTAGCGCTCTACCACTTGAGCCACAGTGCCACTTCCAGTTTTCTGGTGGTTTATTGGAGATAAGAGTCTCACAGACTTTTCCTGCCTGGGCTGGCTTTGAACCGCGATACTCAGATCTCAGCCTCCTGAGTAGCTAGGATTACAGGCATGAGCCACCGGCGCCCAGCTTTACAGAAAAAGTTTTAAAGAGAGTGGCATAGCAAAAATACCCAAGTGGGGGCTAGGAACATAGTTCAGGGGTGCAGCAGTTGCCTACTACCCATGAGACCCTTGGTTCCATCCCCTAGCACCCATTTAAAAAAAAATCGAAGTGATCAAACTAAATCGATCGAACTAAATGTTTCTGGACCCCTAGCTTCTCTGAATGTTTGGTTTGGGGGCTCCCTTGTTTCTAGGAGAAAAGGTAATAAGCACAACCTGGTGGCATTTAACTGAATAGAATATAAGTATTGCTGTTACTGATTGAATAGAATTAAAGTATTGGAAAGTTTTTTTTTTACTGTTATTGAAAGTTCTTCAGCTTCTAACAATGATAATTTCTTTGGAAGAGGAGAACATTTCAGTGCAACCAAAAGCTATCAACTGCAAAACAGACTAACTTCCAGAGAACAGACTTGGGATCTAATCATGGAACATTTTCAAGGAACTGTACCTGGTCCTGACTCATATCATGAACTCATAGACACTGTGATTATATGTTTTCATTTTGAAGACATGTGATCATGGCCAGAATTGCATTGATGGTCTCAATCTGTTTTGTGTCTATACCCTTTTGTACCATGTAACTCCATAGTTTTTCTTAAATGTTCATTCTATTTCTGTGGGTATCCATAGTGAGTCATGGGACTGCCTGCCAATGGGATGCCAGATTTGAAACACACACACACACACACACACACACACATTCTCTTTTTCTTTGCTTTCTTCAGAAAAGCATACCTAGGCCAGGCTGCTGGGAAAAGATCATTTCTAAGCCCAGCTAAGTGAACCCAATCATTTCAGTGAATTACAGACATGCAAGTGAGCGCAGTTGATCCCACCTAAGTCACACACAGAAGTTATATATATATATATATATATATATATATATATATATATATATATATATATATGGTTAAGGGCTTAAAGTGTTGAGATTGTTACATATAATTATTTTGGCAATCATTATGATAGTGATCAATTATCTTCATCATTTGGCTCAGATGATAGAACACTTGCCTAGCATGAGCAAGCCCTAAGTTCAAAAAAGGTGTTAGAATGTGAGTAAATTTGACCATGTGGTTCTTAAGCCCTTGGAATGAGTTTGTGGGAAGAATTTAGCAAAGTTTAGAGGAAGCCAAGAATGCTGTTATTCTGGTTACAGTGCAAAGGACCTGAAGGCCAATAGGAATATACTCTTTGATTCTCTATTTGGACATGTGTTTGAGGTCTTATGTATTAACTATGGCAAAGAATTTGTCTACATTTTGTCTGTGTCCTGAGACTGGTAGACTAATTTATCGAATGAGAGTCCTGTTTAAGCAAGCCATGCCATAGGGCTGTTGGAGGCTGCTGCCACCATGGTCCAAGTGGGTCTCACGATAGTTAAAGTTGGCAACAGACCTTTGCTTTCATCCACTTGAGGTTGGTTTTATAAGCATGAAGAATACAAGAGTTGTAGGTTATAGTTGCTCCTTTCTAGAATTCAAAGGTCAGGCAATGTGTTATAAGGGTTGGTATTCCTGGACAGTGATCCTGAAATGTCTGGGAGAGGCTGTGAGGGTGGATACTCTCAGGGAGTCTGACAGATCAGGGAAATAGAAAATCTGAGCAAGAAAGCTGTAAGCAGTGAGGAGACAACTCAGGAGAGAGGCCCTATGAGCTGCACCAGCAAGGCCATGGAGGCAGGTTGCACATACTCTTTGGAGATCACATGACAACACCATGTGCTCCAGATTCTTGACCTGGAACTACAAGATTTAATGTTTTTTGGCTTGTTTTGATTCCATTTCTCCTTTTGTTGCCCCTATTTTTTCTCATTTTTGAAACAAGTGTACACTTTGTGCTGTTGTGGTTTTTTTTTTTTTTTTGGGTCCGGTCGTGGGGCCTGAACTCTGGGCCTGGGCGCTGTCCTTCAGCTCTTCAGCTCAAGGCTAGCGCTCTACCACTTGAGCCACAGCGCCACTTCCGGCTTTTTTCTTATGTGGTGCTGAGGAATTGAACCCAGGGCCTCGTGCATGCAAGGCAAGTGCTCTACCACTGAGCCACCTTCCCAGCCCGTGCTGTTGTGTTTTTGAATGATGCAGCTTTATTTTTGGTTTTATAAAGCCTCAGAGATAAATTTGCCTTGAATCTGAGATTTTGGACTTAGTTTTTTGGATGGTGTTGGAAGGTTTAAGATTTTGGGCATCTGGTAGATGGAGGATATGTGTTTTGCATTGAGATGGCTGTGAGTCTTTGTGGGTCATTAGTGTAATGTTAACATCTGAATATGAAATGTCCACTACCAGGTCCATGTGTTAAAGGTGTGGGTCCTAGCTCCTAGTGCCATTTTTGAAGGTACTGGAAACAAGCTAGGCCTACCTGGAAGAAATAGAGGTTACTGGAGGAATATTACTGGGCACTAACTTTGCCCCTGGTCCCTTCTCTCTGCTTCCTGTCTGCCATGAGATTAACAGCCTCTTTTCCACATACTCTTGCCACCAGGATGTTTTACTTTACCATAGCAATGGTGCAAACTTACCATGGACTGAAATCTCAGAAACTATGAACCAAAATAAATCTTCCCTCCTCATTTGTTTCTCTCAGGTATTTGTTACAGTGGAAGGAAAAGTAGTCTAATAGGATAATACAGCTTTTTACCCAGTTTCTTTCAATGTGATCTTTGCATAACTATAGTATCTTAAGTAGGAAATCAGCATTGATAGAATTTATTCAGATTGTCACTTGTTTTTCCATCTCTCACCAGTGTTCTATGTATTACAGACAAGGCATGGACCAAGGTGATCATCAGTATCTTTTCTGCAACTCTTTCAGAGCTACTAACACTTTTCTAGCTACTACCTCTGTTTCTCCTATCATCTTCTTTTTCAAGATGGATAAATTTAATCTTCTGGGATGTTTGGCTTTTTTTTGTTGTTGGTCGTGGGGCTTGACTCTGGGCTTGGGCACTGTCCCTGCACTCTTCCACTCAAGGCGGTGAGCGCTTTACTGCTTGAGCCACAGCACCACTTCCAGTTTTCTAGTGCTTTATTGGAGATAAGAGTTTCATGGACTTTTCTACCCGGGCTGGCTTTGAACTCCTGAGTAGCTAGGATTACAGGAGTGAGCCACTGGCCCTCAGCGATGTTTGGGTTTTTAGTCAGCATGATCCCCTTGAGACCATGTTGGGGTTAAATTAATATTCTTTATTCTCAGTGCTCTATCATGTATAGTTTAGCACAGTTTTTTTTAGAATAAAACTGCTACTTATATTTGTGTATAGGTTTTGCACATTTTCATTTCTGTGAAGAGTGCAACTGCTGAAGAACAGTACTTAATAAGACACTGCTATACCTTTCCACGACGGTGGTACCATTTTTTCCCTCCTACCTGAATACAGACGACCCAGTTTTCTCTTTAGCCAATATTTAATGTTGCCATTTAAAAAATAGCAGGGAATGTGGCTTAGTGGTAGAGTGCTTGCCTAGCATGCATGAAGTCCTGGGTTCAATTCCCCAGCACAACGTACACAGAAAAAAGCCAGAAGTGGCGCTGTGGCTCAAGTGGTAGAGTGCTAGCCTTGAGCAAAAAGCCGAGGGACAGTGCCCAGGCCCTGAGTTCAGGCCCCAGAACTGGCAAAAAATAAATAGCCATTCTGATAAGGGCATTGATATCTCCTAATTTGTATTTGTATTTACCTAATGGCCAAAGATGTTGAAATTTGCTCCTGAGCTTATGTAACATATATCTTATTCGATGAAATGTCCCTAGCTTTTCTAACCAGTTTTTACATTGTTGGATTTTGAAAATACTTTATATATTTTTGATTCAAGCCATTTCTCAGAAATGTTTTGCAATTATTTTCTTCTAGTCTAACACTTGCCTTTTCATCCTCTTTACAGGAACTTTTCCATAGCATACATTTTTAATTTTGATAAACATTTTATCATTCTTTTAAAGAATCCTGTTGTTGGTATCATGTTTAAGAACTCTGTCTAGGAGCTGGGAAGGTAGCTCAGTGGTAGAGCACTTGTCTTGCATGCATGAGGCCCTGGGTTCTATTCCCCAGCACCACATAAGCAAAAAGAAAAAAAGCCGGAACTGGCGCTGTGGCTCAAGTGGTAGAGCACTAGCCTTGAACTGAAGACCTGAGGGACAGCGCCCAGGCCCAGAGTTCAGGCCCCACAACCGGACCCCAAAAAACAAAAACAAAAAAAAACCCAAAAGAACTCTGTCTAACCTGGGAGTCAGTGTTTCCCACCTGTAATCCTAGCTACTCAGGAGGCTGAGATATGAAGATCGTGGTTCAAAGCCAGCCAGGGCAGAAAAGTCCCTGAGACACCGGAAGTGGTGCTATGGCTCAAGCAATAGAGCACTCACCTTGAGCTAAAGAGTGCAGGGACAGCGCCCAAGCCCAGAGTTCAAGCCCCATGACTGACAAAAAAAAAAAAAAGACCTTTGTCTAGATGAAGGTTTTGACTTTCTAAAAGCTTTGCATTTATACTCAAGTTTCATTTGACTTGTTACATAAGGTGTAAGATTACCTCTGGATCACTTTAGCACTCTGACACAATTGGCTTCATTGAATTGTCTTTGAGCCTCTGACAAGAACAAATATGACTTGTTATGCTTATGAGGTTATTTTTACCATTTGAGTATCTTTTTCCTTCCTAAAGGACTGTGGATGCCGTTGAATTGTCCTTTTTAGCAGAGTGGCTCGCTGCTTGCTGGAGTGTAAAGGCCAGGTGGGTTCAAAGCAGAGCATTTGCTGCCACTCACTGCAGGGAGGTGAGGTGGCAGTTCAGCTTGCTCTCTGGCCTTACTGATACCTTCCCAACAATTAACTTGTATATCTGCTAGACAGGTAAATTGATACCCCATTGACAGCTTAAGCTTCCAGTGGGCCAGGATGACATCAGAGAAGAGAAATAGAAGTGTGATACTATGTAAATATCTTACCCCTTTGTCTTATCTTTTTGGTACCTAGGTAGGAATGTAGGCTCAGATCTAAATGTTAATGCTCATGTTTTATAGTAGAATGATTATTATTTTCTTTTGCTGAGTCTGGAACCTAGAGCCTTGTTAATAGTAGGCAACTGATCTATGGATCTACTGATCTACCACTGAGCTCTCTCCCTATCCCTTTTGTGTTTCTTTTTAATTTAAATGTTCATGTTTCCTACCATTTTCAAAGTAAGCAGTAAGTGAAGGAAAAGCTAACTTTTTTTGAGATCGTCAGGCTAGCCTCAAACTATGTAGACCATGCTTACCTCAAACCTGCGATCCTCCTGCCTCAGCCATGTGGGTGCTGGCATTTAGTTCTGCACCAATACACTTGGCCCCAAATTCTAATTTTTAATTAATGCTGGCCTCTGATTGAATTTGCTTTCTTATGAAATTATGCAGAAAATTTTGTGGGGAAAGCCTAAAAGATAAAAATGTATTAATAACACTTATTATTTAACATCATTATGGGAGATTAAAAATTATATTTAATGCTGTTCTCTTGTACAACATTGAAGTTCAGTTTCACAAGGTGTTGCCAGTAATTTGTACAAGAATATGGTTTAGAATAGTTGACAGTATTTGTGCACACAGACTTAGAAGCGGTTTGCATGGTCTGAAATCTTTATGATTTAATGGAAGAACGACCTTTCTTCCTCTGGAATGATGAATGACTATTGTAATGTTCATGGGCTGATGAAGGTCTGTATGATTTTATTCCATCCTTCGCATTGAGAACAAAGCTTACTAAGTTGGAAGGCATAGTTCTTTCGATTATTGATGGGGTTAATTTTCCTCTCATTTCTGTTTGCACATACATCACTAGTTTTGAATATGCTGGGTTTCTGTAGACAAAAGAAGTGTAAAGAAAATACAGAATCTTTAGATTTATCCAACGAATTTACCAGTTTATGTTGATATGTTCCATAGTGCTTATAATAAAATAGTTAATGAAGGGAAAAACTAAGACAGTGACTTGTTGTCACATCCTTTTAAAGAAAAATTTTAACCAAATTATTAAGTATTATTGTTATAAAATTAATATAAAGTTAAGTATAACAAAAGTATTAGACTATTCCTTAAAATCCTGAATTTTAAGTACCTTTATCTTTTTTATCACTTCCTTGACTTTTAAAATTATGTATATCCCCCATATATGCATATATAATACAGTTTTGTCCTTTTATATAAAAAATTATATTCCTGAGTTAATTACCACGGTTCATCTTTAATAAATAAATGCAAATAACACTTACTCTTTCAGAGGTGAACACACATAGCCACATGGATGATTGAAACCACGGATATAATTTGAAGATGGAGGATAATCTGGAAAATCCACACTATTAGCTAGAGCGGTGGAAAAATTTAAATGAAAACTAAATATGGAAATCCCTAGTCCCATAAGCATATTTTTTAAAAGTATGATATAGCATAGTTATTGGCATTAAATAACATTAGTTTTATAAACATTTATATTTATATGTACTAGTATTTTTAAAGATGCTATTGTCTTTTATATCAGAAAAATAGTATCATTTAATTACTTTCTCAGATTTGAAGCAAAAGAACAAATCAGAAAAAACTTCTATTAGGGTCATGGATTTACTGATTTTTTAAAATTAATCTTTTGCTTATATAATGTAATTGAAAAGGTTAGTTTCAAATGTCAAACTCTACTAATTCCATGGAGTTAAAATACAAAGTGTAATTAGAACTCAGTAGAACTTATTGTAATAATTATGCAGCATATCTATATTCCATGTAAATGCAGAGGGAAGTGATTTAATTATGATTACATTTATGGCAACTGCACATATTCTTTCTAAAAATACTTTTAAGATTGTTTATTTTGTATAAGGACATCCTGCTCTTGTCAAAGTAGATGGATTTTCCTATTCATTTTAACATAAGCAATCAGCTGGATGGGAAACACAATGGATATTCTAGCTTAGAAGACAAATGTAGTTGAATGAAATTTCCAGTTGTTATCTTAACAGAGCCAGTTTTGTTGGCATAATGTTATATAACAGAAGCAATGTTAAAATATTTTTCTCCTTTTAAAATATGGACGTTGTACTTACATTTCCTTAAAAAAATTGTGTAGTCCAAAGGCATGGTTTTTTGTGAAGCTTAGAGTAGTACAGTAGCACTTATATTGAAAATCAGAATGACTACAGAGTTTTAAATTCTGGTTAAGCATTAGCTATACAATTTAATTTGTTCACTCCTTAATTTCTATGGATTTTTGTTTCTTCATTAGTGAGATAATGCATACACAAAATGTAAAATATTTAGATCAATGTATGTTGTAGAGTAAGTTTATAAGACACTGAGAGGAAAACAATGAGTATTTATGGAGAATTTAGTCAATGGAAACTTCTTACAACAAATTCAGTAGTGATTTGTGCACTGGATGACTATTGGTTGATCCTAATCTCTGTTTCCGTTTTAGTTTCCTTCTGGCTACTAATGTAGAGTAGAAATGGTCTGCTTCCAAAATATGGAAAACACTAGATCTGATTCAGACAAGGCAGCATTTTGCATTGGACAGTAATACATTTTATGTGCTTTCATTTCTAAAGTGACACAAATATATATATATATACACATTATGAACTTCAGCTCTTGGTGATCTCTACAAAACAGAGTAAGAGAACCAACGCAATCTGGACTCTGAAACTTATAATACTTGGGTCATGTCAGAGTCACTGAAAACTAGTTGGGAAATAACACAACTTGATTATCCCTATACCTAAGAAGTTTACAGGACAGAAAATATGCAGATGTGCATGGTAAGAGTAAGTCAAATTCCTTTTATGATGTGTTTTCTTACACCAGAGCCAAAAGATCTGAATAAAAAATGACATATTTAAGTCAATAATGCAACCTAGCAAACTGTTAGGTTTGAGTTGAGTAAAACAATTACAAAGAGATACTAGGAATGTATCAGAACTTTACAGTTTCTAAAAGAAATAAAAGCACAAGTATGGAAAGGCCTATCTAGAGGGAACTGCTTCAAGAGTTTTATCAGTTACTCTGTATACCCATTCTAACAATGTATATCCTCAAATGAATGTCGTTTATTCAGATTACAAGAAATGTATACCTTGAGGTTTTAGCCTATAAACATCTATCTGTATTTTTTAGGGTTCATGCTGCAAAAAATCTAGATGAACAATCACCAAATATACAGATGATACCTCCTTACCTGATAAAATATCTATCATGTCAACATGTTACCCCTATTTTTTGGCTACATACAATAAAAACAAAGGAAAAAAATTATAGCTTCTTCCAAGCTATTGAAGGGAAAACTTTTATTGACTCATAGTATTTCTTAAACGCGGGCAAAACGTTTCAACTTACAACTGATAATGTCCATATTCCCATCATAGTGCTTGATGTGTATTAAGTCGATAAAGTCTCGGGGGGAAATTGAGCCCAAGGCAAAACTTTGTGTAATGGTATGACATATAAATGTTTCCTGCAACAAATCAAACCATAAAGATTGCAAAAATTATTTAGTGTATTGTTTCCCCCAAGGAATTTCATTGCACAAGACTGGCCTCTATTTGGAGGAGGCATATGATTTTAAAGCTTTGACTTTTTTTTTTGCATTCATAGGGCCTGAACTCTTGGGCCTGGTGCTGTCCCTCAGCTCTTCAGCTCAAGGCTAGCGCTCTACTACTTGAGCCACAGCACTACTTCTGGCTTTTTCTGCTTATGTGATGCTGAGGAATTGAACCCAGGACCTCATGCATGCAAGGCAAGCACTCTACCACTGAGCCACCTTCCTAGCCCAGCTTTGATGTTTTAAAACCACACCACCAAATAAGCTTTTATGCTCAATTTTAAATGAACATTGGAGTTACAACCAGTAATATAGAAAACTCTGGGAATAATCTTATACTCATTTACTTTTTCAATTTGTAAATAGTGAAAATGAAGCTTAGCAGACTAAACCATTTGACAGTCATGAGTGGTTTTACTCTTTTACTCTGCAGGAACAGAGTAGCTCTACTTAGCAAAAGGAGCAGTAGTTACTTCTTATATATATTCAGAAGATTTTAATTTCCTGCTGGCCTATGGAATTATTCAATTTTTCCATCACATCTTCTAACAGTACATGGGCTCACTTAACCTCACTTCACACTCTTGGTACTACAAAATCTGCATCCCACATCTTGATTCATCTGTTCCTATATCTTGTTCTATATGCCATTGTGTGTCCTCTTCCCCTGGTCTGTGATTAAGAATTAATAGACCACTGTGTCTCTCATTTGTCCATTGTTAGTATTAGGCTATCCCTATAAATCTACAGTGGAAATCCCTCCCTCACTCATGTAATGAACAAGAGGGAATTAAAATCTCCTGGAAAATAAAAGCTATACATAATAATAATAAGGTGAAGTGCTTTTTCTTACAGTAGAGATACTATGGAATACTGACAGGGAAGAACATAGATTTGGAATTTGAAATCAGGAAACTGGGTACAAATCCTGGTTAAATCACATGCTAGCTGCAGTACCCTTGGGAAAGACATGTAACTTGTTTACAAATGTTGTATTCTTCTCATTATAAATGACTCGTGCACATAGCAGATACTTGAACCACAGAATAATGATATGATTACTTTTGTGCAATGTTTAATAAAAAACTTTCATGTGTGGTGGATAATATTTCTCAAGCTGAATGTTAAAATCTAAAACAGTTCATGGATATGTGTTTGGGAACTTCTGGGCCTTTCTACAAGGGTTTGCTTGGCCATCCCACCACCTCTCTCTCCTTCTGGGCTTTTCAGCTCACTTTACTGATGGTAGGTAAAATTGTAACATGCCACACAAATGATAAAGTGACAGACATGCATGTGGAACATTTGCTTGTTTTGATGAGCTGAATGAAGGTCAAAGACTTAAAAACCCCAAACACTCAAGCAATCGCCTATTTATTTTTTTGTTTTTTTTAGGTCCGGTTGTGGGGCCTGAACTCTGGGCCTGGGTGCTGTCCCTCAGCTCTTCAGCTCAAGGCTAGCGCTCTACCACTTGAGCCACAG